ATTCATAATTCAAGTTTATGAAGTTATCGACAATTAAAAGTTATTAAATTAGACATTTGTAATACGCTTGCGCAAATACTTGAACATGAACTTGAGCCGTCTAGGCACAATGAAAATACGAAAATACGCAATTAAAATAATCGAAAAGTGCTCATGCCCATAGATAAATAGGAATAAATAGATCGCTATCTCGGGCGATTTGACGTTACACTCATTTTAATTTACGAATAGATCACTACATGGCAGCACATGTACATACAGTATGTAAATTAACCTAACCCATGGTATTACTTCTACATTTGTACATAAAATCAATACAGCCCAAAAATCTGAAAAACAATTAATTATTTGAAATAAGAACAAAACATACGAAATACAAAATATATTTTCAAATATATCACAGACATATTTTTGAAGAATTATAAACTAAACAGAAATAACTGACTACTATTAATTAAAGTATATTACAGACATATTTTTAAAGTACTACAAATTGAAGAGAAATAACATATTCATATTAATTACTTAATGACTAATAATAATATATTAAAAACTTAAAAACTAAGAAGTAAAAAGCGCAGGAGTATTGATGATGGAATGACAAATTTAGAAGGAATGACAAGTAATACAATAATTTAAAAGGATAAAAAGAACAGCACATTTTTAAAAAAGAATGAATACTTTCCAAACAAAATAATCCTAAAAACAAAATATATATATATTGATATCCAAATTGAGATAAGACTAAATTCCTAGGATTAAAATTCATTTACGTGACATTCTTGTTTGTTATCTCTCCATTTAATAGTTATTTTGCTACCTAATCAATCATTAATAAAGTTATATTTGACGAAATCTTTGAATAGTTTCTGTATAAGTAAGGAGGTTAGTTAAAACTATAACTAAACCCTTGCGCTTTATAAACTGTCTGGTCTTTGAGTATGCTCTCTTAATTGAGACAATATCAAAATTCTTGCCCTTACATTTTAAGTTTCCGGAATATTTGAAAACTTCTCAGAACATTGTATACTCTGTTGGAACTTATCCTTTAAATTATTGCATTGCGTTTTAATCCCGAAACAAAAATTGATGTATCATACATCTTCTGGGTGTTAAGGCACTCCTATGCCTTATCATTGCATTCTGCGGCAATTTGCAGCTACCATCAAGAACTTCTATTGAATATATTGTTATATCATATTAATTGAAGATATTGTAATTATCATATTAAATATTTTTGCTACAATTAGTATGAAAAAATACCTTTTCGGAAAACTGGTGTCAGAATAGGTGACTTTTAACCTGCACTTGACAATCATAGGGGTGCTGCAAAAATCTTTTTCAAGGTGTTTAGGCTTCCATCTCCTAAGAACATAAGATTCATTTATTAATATTTTTTTGCAAATGTTATTGAAGTATTTAGAGTTATAATTACTTTGTCCTTGGAGTTGCAGATTGTTCTTCTGGTTCTGTATCAAAGCATTCTCCAGTGACTTGAAAACTATTCTGTTATTGCCGTGAAGGAGACACTTCTATTTGGTTTCGATTTCAAATTATCGTTGATTTGTGCCACAAACCGAAGAGTTAGGTCATCCATTAAAAGATTATTCGCCCTCTGCATCCAAATTGAAAGCATCTTTTTACACACAAATTTTTACACACAAATATATATAATATATATTTACACACAAATATATATAATATATATTTACATATATATATATATATATATATATATATATATATAGCTGACCCGGCAAACATTGTTTTGATAAATAAGGTATATTCTAAACCATTTCTAGAGAATCAAAAATATTAATACTTTAAATGCATAAGGATGTGTTGTTTGAATGTTGTATATAATTAGGTATTCTAAAAACAATAAACCCCATTAGTTTGTCTATATTTTGTCAATACAATCAAACTGCAGGTTTTAAACACTTTCTATAGAAAACATCGTATAATCCAATCCGAGTCTTTTTTGGTCTTTCGGCTTATTAATTACGTTTCAAGTTTTTCAGATTCTTTTTGGATTCTGGATTTTGTGTATAATTGTAAATAATACTACTGAGCTTATACAAAATTTTCAAATTTTTGCGAGGAGAGATAAAAAATGAACTAAGTATTTCTGCTTTTTGAAAAGTTTCAAGTTACATTCGATGAATTAAAGTAAATTTAATAAAAAGTATATATGTAAAGCAGGGCGAGACACAAAGGTCCAATTTGACTTTGAGCAAATATAAACTATATTGTGAAAACCATAACAATTATATCACAACAAATAACACATATCAAACGAACAATTATCTGACTACGTTCAGTAAACTGACTTCTACTTCATCATTGTAGAAATGTGCTTTTTTGATGTCTTTCAAAAATTTGTTATCTAGACCTTTTTATCCTATATGTAGGGTAACTTGTAACGGGCAGGTGGCAAAAGGTTTAAAGCCTTATTATAATTTTAAAGGTATTTTACAAAATAATTACATTTTTAACTAATGCTAAAACTACCAACGGAAGAAAATACTTTTATTATGGATTTTCAAAGATTACCGTTTATCTCCCCCATTTCAAAGATTATCGTTTTCTAATCAAGGTTGTAGCTGGCTATACATCTTTTTTCCTCTACTTTCAAATATTGTTGTTAAACAATGCTTAACTTTACTGATTTTTGGCACATCGGTGGTGGACCTTTTTAATCTCGGACCTTCATATATTACTATCTATTCTGCGATAAATTCTGGGAAATTATAACTGGAAAAATGTTATTCGACAAAATGTCCATTTGATCGATACCAAATTTAGATTCGGAATTTAAATAACATAAATAAAAAATAATATAACCTAGAAAATGTTTTATAAATACCAATGAGTATATAATTATACAAATGAGATCTTTCAGAGCACAGTGTTTGAGAAAAATATGCCAAAAAGTGCATTTTCATATTAACATTTCAAAAAAGTTGATATTTTGAGTCTCTAGTAACACTTGCTGCCCGTTTACTAACGTTTTTGTATATGAATAAAACTATAAACAAAACTACTTACTACAAATTTATTATAATTAAATAATATGCGCGTAAAACATTCTATTAAACGTAATTGAACATCATCTGTCAAAAGCGTTTGACATTTAACGAAATTGCCACCGTCAATTGTTTTAATTAAATTACTCTTCAACAAAAATTTTCAAATTAAAAATGTAAAGTTTCTACGCGGATTTGAAATAATTTCTCACCTTTTGGACTTTCTCTGGATTGGCACGAATTTTTCAAGACTAAGACTGACCAAATCGATTCAGCCGTTTTCGAGTTTTATTCGGACATTTGAAGAGAGCTCCATTTTTATATAAGAATATATATATATATATATATATATATATAACATATATATATATAACATTTTAATAGTATTTTCATGATACATATTCATTATATGCATAATACATCATTATGTACATACCTGATAATTAGATGCCGAAAAGACATGCATTTTTTTTTATTATATTTGGGGTTATAACAATTTGGCACATAACACTTTATCATATTAACTTAATAATAAATGAAAAAAGTATTCACCAAAACATAATTATATATAAACAATCACAGAAAAACAAATATAACACATCTCAACTACAATACGCGATGACAACTTGACAACTTATAGAAAATGGCCGATCAAATCAATGTAGATCAAGCTAGCTGCAAGATGAATGAAATTCATAGACCTTATACAATTTCATTGTATAAGGTCTATGATGAAATTGGAAATCGTAGCGCCATCCTTCGAACTATTCAAATACCAATCCATTTCAAAACACGGTAATCTACATTTGTTCGGAGATTACCGGCCATGCCCCTAACCCATAGACCTTATACAATACTATAAATTACGAAATTGTATAAGGTCTATGCCCTAACCCCTTAATTTGAATGCCAAAAGCAGCGCCATCACGTCGAGCGGAGGACCCTTTAAGTATTCCTTCTGAACGTAAAAATCGGGCGGGAGAAGCGTCTATATGAACACGGGGTATTCTAATATTGTCTAGGGACATAAGCTTTGAGGCACTTAACCTTAAAAATGTTTACTGCATTTCTTTATTTAATGAATCATTATACTTAATTATGTTTTAAGTACGTTGAAGTAAATTTAATAATTTCAATAAACATTCAGCGTTCACATTATTACTGTATCTTGTATATTATTATTTATAACAATTATTTAATATCTTTTTTCTTTAACAAACATATAAAACCCATGAAAACCACACACAATAGCCACAATTAGTTCATATTTATTACGGCGCTGCTTGGGCGCTGCAGTCACGCTCTGAGCGGTGAGTTTGATGGCTTTATGTTGGTCATGTTATCTCCCTCTGTCTCTGTGCTTCGAAAAACGTCATCTCCCACCATTGACTGGGCTCTGCTAGCGCTTCAATTTCAATAATCATAATAATAAGCTATTGTCTCTAGTTAAATCTACTACTCCGACTTTGATTCACTGCACTTTCAATTTGCCCGTTATCTAGTTATGGATAAAAATAGTTCTGATAACATGCCACCTCCCATTATCCGTGACAGCGACGAGTCAAAACAAAAAGATGACATAAATTATTTATTGGATTCCACAATTCTGGTAAATTTATACTTATTTTTTTGTCAGTCACACACACACAAACACACACACACACACAAACACACACACAAACACACACACACACACACATATATATATATATATATATATATATATATATCAGATAATTTTGCCAGTGGGCGGATAGAAGTTTTATTCGTGTGCATAAATGATAATGATTAAAGGCGTATTTAGATTATAACCGTTATATATGAAGGACTTTGTGCATTGTACATATTTTAGGACTCTTATGCGAAAGAAACCAATGATCCTGATTTGGATAAAGAGCCAACTTCTTTCTCTGATAAGAACCCATCAGATATGAATGCAACGCCTGCAGAAATGGAAACTGTACCCATAATAATGCATTCCAAACATTAAGTAATTCTGATATAACTAATACCAATTTGCATAATTATGATGGTAGTGAAAATGGTGAGCAATTAATAGAAGTGTCTGTCACAGAGCCACAAAGGATTGGAGATGGAATGAGTGCTTACTTAGCTTACAGGTTATTTTAGTTCATCTTTTGGTGTTAATTATTTAATTATTATTGATTAATTTTTTGTTTCCAGGGTAATAACGCATACTAATATGCCAATATATAAAAAACGTTCTATGAATGTAACTCGCAGATTTAGTGACTTTTTAGGTCTCCACACAAAATTGACTGAAAAGTACTTGCGTTCTGGAAGGATTATTCCCCCAGCACCTGAGAAAAGTGTTATTGGTAAATAAATAATCAATATTATGGCTACAAAAATCCTATCATTCATTTTCATTACAGGGATGACTAAAATAAAGATATCATCCCAATCATCAACCGAATCTCCACTAGCACATTCACCAGTTGGATCAATAAATACACATGCCTCATCTTTAGACTGGGTTGAGCGTCGGAGGGCTTCATTGGAACGTTTTTTGAATCGCACTGCTAAACATCCAGTTTTAGGAATTGACCCTGATTTCCGTTCATTTCTTGAAATGGAGTGTGATTTACCTAGAGCGACAAGTACTAAAGCTTTAAGTGGTGCTGGTGTATTAAGATTATTTAACAAAGTTGGAGAAACAGTAAACAAGATTACATATAAAATGGATGAAACAGACCCAGTTAGTATTATTTTTAGATAGTCCCGTTTTTTGTTTCATTTTACAGTGAGTTTTCAGTATCATATGCCAAGATTCTAGAATTAAATTTATCTTTATGATAAAGCATTTCTGTGCATAGTTTTTTAGCGGTTTATGACACTACTATTTGCACTACAGGTATAAATATCAAAGTATATTTTCAAAAAATTATAATTATTATACTATATATTTGTAAAATGTATTGTTGTGATTTTTTTTTAAATTAATAGTAAAAACAAATTTACATTGTTTTCCCCTAATATTTGTAATAGTGCAAATTCTACCAAATTACACCTTTTAATTTCTTTCTGTAGTGGTTTGAGGACAAAGTGGATCAAATTGATGCCTTGGATTCACAATTTCGACATCTTCATACAGCTGTAGAAGACTTGGTCAATCAGCGTCGAGATTTAAGTTTTAATACAGGGGCGGTTTCAAAGTCATTAGCTGTGTTGAGTGGATGTGAAGAACATACTGGTTTAGCAAGAGTTCTTAGTCAACTAGCAGATGTTGAGGTACTAAAGTGAATTAAGGATAAAAGGTAGTCGTTTAATGCTGAATTTATTTTTAGGAGAAAGTTGAACTTCTTAGAAGTGAACAGGCAAATTCAGATTTTTTCATATTTTCTGAAATGCTCAAAGATTATATAGGTATCATTGGAGCCATAAAAGAGGTAATAATTTTAATAATTCGTTTTTTTATCATATATACTGCTAGTTTTTTTTAAACAGTTTAATGTGCATCTTTACTCAATGCCTTATTATAAATTATGCTTATTATCCGTAGAGTAAATTATAGTAATCGGAAATAAACATTTTTGCATATCTTTATGTTTCAAAGGTTTCTGAACATTTTGGCATACTTTAGAAAAAATGTTTGTATGTGTGTTTGTGTGATTCATATATATACTTATAATATATATATATATATATATATATATATATATATATATATATGATATTCAGTTTTCAGGGCAATACATCAATTAAAAAATTTGTATGACTTTAAAACATTTTTATTTTTTCCATACGTTTCGACACATAGTTTTGTGTCATCTTCAGTAGACTCTATTTTGAAGGCACAGATAAAAATTATTAATTAAAACTAATATATAAGAAGTAATATGGTATGAACTTACATGTAATTGTAATAATCCTAATTATTTCCTAATTATAATTGTTCACAATGCACAATGAAACCAATTCTTGTCACTTTAAATTTAACAATTATTAAATATATATATATACATATACGAGGTGTGTTCAAAAAGTACCCGGAATTACTAATAATTAAATTTCGCGGGTCTGGAGTGTCTGATTGTCAAAATTTTTTTTTATTGTGTTGGTATACATGCCCCTAAAGTATGATGAAATTTTCAGCTATATTCACTGTTTACTTTGTCTGTGGTAGTCGCTAAGGTTCGACGTGTTTTTCTGAGCTCGGCGATTTTTACAATGGAAGAATTGAAAAGTCAAAGAATTTGTATTAAATTTTGCGTAAAAAATGAAATAAAGTGTTGCAAAGTGCAAAAATTCACCAGATATGGCTCCGTGTGACTTTTTCCTATTCCCAAAGTTGAAGAGACCCATGAAAGGACGGCGGTTTTCCTCGATTGAAGAAAATCGCTGAGAGTGCTCAAGGACATATCAAAAAGTGAATATCAAGGGTGCTTCGAAAATTGGAAAAACGCTGGCATAAGTGTATTATCTCTGGGGGGGACTACTTTGATGGGGACCACATTAATGTAGACGAATAAATAAATATTTTTTTGAAAAAACGAAAATTCCGGGTACTTTTTGAACAGACCTCGTATATATTGTTAAATTTAAAGTGACAAGAATTGGTTTCATTGTGCATTGTGAACAATTATAATTAGGAAATAATTAGGATTATTACAATTACATGTAAGTTCATACCATATTACTTCTTATATATTAGTTTTAATTAGTGATGTGCCGGCTCGAAAAATTCCCGATTCGAATGATTCGAATCAGAAAAAAACCTGATTCGAATCATGATTCGAATCAACTCGAATCAAGTATATATATGGACAAAAAAAATCAATGGATGTATTAATTTAGTAAAAGTGATCCAAATTTATAATCAAAATTGTCAGTTTTAACCAATATAACCGACAAAGTAGATTGTAAACATAACTCACTATCAAAAAGTATATTCTGAAAATTATTAAAATGATGTAATTTTGAGGACGTAAAACATATCATCAATTAATTTACAATAATAGATTACCAAACAAATGGCATCACTAAAGCATATAAAATAATATTTGGAATCATGGGTCGATTGTTTATTTTACTATGTATCAGTAAAGGATCGCATCTAAACTGAGAGCTGAAAGTTAATTTCATTAATGTGAATTTGCCATTACTTACATAATCATAAGTTAACATATTATTTACTGACTTTCTGTGTTTAGTAATTGTTTCAAAAGAACAACTACTATATAATTATATTGAAAGATTCCCGAAACTCGTTTCATAATTTCGAGTGGTTTATTCTGATAACATTTAAAATCTAAAACACTTAATTATTATCAAAATTGGGTATTGATATTTCACGAATAAAATCGCTCTCAGCGCTCCGTAAAAATAATAAACACGCAAGAACGACGACGCTTGTATCGCCCATACGGTTAACTCATAGCGCTTGAACTCATATCGCTCGAACGGCTTGAAGTCGGGATGATTCGAATCAGAATTGAAGTCGGAATAACTCGTAAACGCCGCTTGATTCGGTTTGGCTCATATGAAGTCGGAACACTCATAACGCCGCTTGATTCGAGTTGGCTCATATGAAGTCGGAACAACTCATATCGCCGCTTGATTCGAGTTGGCTCATATGAAGTCGGAACAACTCATATCGCCGCTTGATTCGGTTTGAGTCATGAAGTCGGAATAACTCATATCGCCGCTTGATTCGGTTTGAGTCATATAAGTCGGATGATATAGTTAGTCGATGAATGCGGTTAAAGTCACACAAAGACGATGGAGTTGGCTGATACATTTAGCATATTAAAGTCGGGTGGCTCGCATGATTTAACTCATTATTTATTTTTTATATTTATGATATTTTATTTTTTATATTATTATAATATTGAATTAAATTAAAACATTTTTT